ACTTAATCTCGGAGTCAACCGCGGCCTGGCCCTACCCGCGTCCATGGTCCACGGCCTGATGCTCCCCATCTTGATGTCTCGGGCTCAGATCCGCGGCCTGACTTTGCCCCCGTGTGCCATCCGCGTGTGGAGGTGGAGGAAGAGGCGTCTCGGGCAAGAAAACGCGGACTGGTCTTGCCCGCGTGATCAGGCTGCATGAGAGATCTAGGATCTCTGGACGAAAAACACGGCCTGCCCCCAGCCCGTGTGACATGCCCGCGTGGTGTGGTCGAGGATCTTTGGATGAAAAACACGGCCTGGTGCTGGCCCGCGTTACATGGCTGCGTGAGTTCACCTCAAACTTCTTGATGAGTTTCATTTCTTTTGACTAAACCCTCTAATCTCCAACCTAAGCTTCTCCATACCTGAAATACCACACATGCATATGCTATGCACCTAAAGGGACTCTAAATGCAGCTAAAGTGATTGAAATGAACATAAAAATGATGATTAAAACTATGAAATAAGCAAGATATCAAACGGCAACGCTAATTCTTGGTACTGGTTGCAAAGCCTTATGCCTTTAATTAGCTGGATGAGTTAGTGGATGAACTGGTCTAAGTCGTGGAGTAAATTTTGTGACTCTGACTAGATTATCCCTAGCCCGTCACGTAGCGCTTCCGGACCATGGTGTTGGGTTGGACGGTCAGTCATGTTCTTCTTTGATTGTTGGCTGGCCGGTTAGCCTTTCATCTCCAACCCTGGGTGTTGGTCGGTCGATCGTTCATGTTCTTGTTTGATTGTTGGCTGGTTTATCAACCATATGTCTAGGACGGTCCGGGGGTGTTACATAGCTGGTCTGCCATAAGCTTGGGTAGGATGCTAACTCCAGATCCTGTATCACATAAGGCACGAGGGAACTCAACACCTCTGATGGAACATGGTATTGTGAACTTCCCTGGATCGCTCTTCTTCTCTAGTGTGATCTTCTTCTTTAAACTGTCTCTGACTTGGTGAAACATTCTCCTGATGTCTTCTTCTGTCTCTTTGGTCTCTCTGAAAAACATCCACAATCTGTGTGAAAAGTAGGCTTCTTCAAAAGGTTTCTCTCTAGGTATCTTTAGAACTCTCTTTCTGAAGCTTGACAATTCCTTCTCATTAGCTTCCCTTTTATAAGGCTTGGGTATCTTCTCTTTCCTTTTTCTGAGAACTCTTCCATGAGTTTCCTTTTCTATCTCCATACACTCAAAGATATTCGTGGGTCTCTCCATTATGGCTTTTTGAGGGCTTCTGGTAGTGTAATACTGCTCCCGGAATGCGTCAATATGTGCATTATCTATCTTGGGAAGTTGCACTCGGCGTTGGGGTACTGTGTATCGGGAGACAGTGGCTGGAGTGCGTCGGTCGATATCATGATCTTCCTATCGATCGATGGGAGGGTTATCTTGTCGGTCGATGTCATGCGGATCGATCTTGACAGGGCGGATGTGGGTGTCGTGCTGCGAAGGCTTCGTGAGGCATAATCTTGACGGCACTGCACTCGTGAGGGTACTCGCCTAAGTCCATCAATCGACACTCATCAAAGTCTATCGATCGATGTACTCTGGATCTTATCGGTCGATGTTCATGGCATGAAATCGATCGATAGTAGTCGCGAAAGAAGTCTCTCTCATCATCAGATTTTTGATACTCCTCTACTACCTCTTGCCAAAAATCATCATCCAGGATGGCATTGATGTTATGGTTGTTGGCAAGCTCCTGCTTCTTGAGGGCTTCTCCTGTCTAAAACACATGAGTCTCTATCTTCTTCATATGGGTGTTTAAAGCATCTAGCTTTGTTTGGAGGGTGTTGTAGACAGAGTCAATCTTTGCATTGAAGTCTGTCTGGAGTAGAATGAGTTTCCATAGCTCCTGTTGTTGTTGGGGTTGCTGCTGCTGAAGGTGTTGGGCTTCTGTGGATTCTGGTTGAAGTTGCTTCTCTTGCCTGTGTAGTTTCTGTATCCTTCTTGGTTGCCAGATCTCTGAAAACCAGCTCCACTGACCCAGTTCACATCTTCTTCTATACAATCTTCACATGCAGTCTCTGCATCCTCCACTGAACAAATCTGCTTGTTTAATAACTTCTGAACGGTATCCAGCTGTGCTTGTACTTCATTGATGTATTCCTTCCCAAGGAATGATGTAGCTTTTGTTTTCATGAAGTTCTTTGTGCTATTGCTGGAAGCTAAGTTATCAATTAACTTAACAGCCTCTTGTGGATTCCTGGTGTTGAAGTTGCCATCACTAGCTGTATCAAGAGCTCTCTGATAATCCAATGTGATTCCTCTATAGAAAGTGCAAAGAAGTTGCACTTTGTTGAATCCGTGGTGTGGGCAATCTCTTTGGTAGGACTTGAATCTGTTCCATGCATCTTTGAATGACTCTTCAGGATTCTGAGTGAATGTAGCAATCTTTCTCCTCCATTCTTCAGCGCGTTACTCATCAAAGAAGTTACGCAGGAATGCGTTCTTGATGTCGCTCTAGGTTGTGACGGAACCAGGTGATAGTTGCCTCAGCCACTGCAAAGCTTCTCCAGATAGAGAGTATTTGGAAAGCTTGCAGAGAAGATAGTCTTGAGGGACTCCATTGGCTTTGATGATGGTTATGAGATCCTCGAACCTCTCCAGATGGTCCATAGGATGCTCATTGGACAAACCACAGAAGGGTATTTGTCCTACAAGGGTGTAGTACTGCGGATTAAGCTCGAAATCTCCTCTCTGAATAGCAGGAGGGCGGATGGCTGATCGGTTGGAATAGAACTGATCTGGACGGTTGTAGTTAGCCAAAGTTCTTGCTTAATTAGCCTCTTCTACAAGTTCAATGATGTCTGTAGGTGCAGTTTCTTGCTCAGGTATGATCTCCTTCTGAGCGTTCAGCTTATGGCCTGCTGCATTACGCAGGTGACCGTCTTGATCATGCAGATCTCCATTCTCATCGGTTATGAGAATAATAGGCGCTACCATGTCTCGCCAGTTAGTACCGATCGATGTAAGGTAATGTGTATCGATCGATGTTGGATGAAGGGTATCGATCGACGAACAGTTGTTGATGTCGATCGATGTGGCGGTGAGAATGTCAGTCGACGAAGAAGGTATCTCGGTCGACTGTGGTAGGCAAGTATCGGTCGACAAAGAAGTGTTCATGTCGATCGATGCGGAGCGTATGTCTTTGCGGATGCTACGTTCCAAGCTGTGAGGGTCTTCTGAGTACAAAAGTTGTTTGTTCTTGTTGCTGCTAGTACTGCCGGGCATGTACCTGAAAAAGACAAGAAAAAAATTTTGGTGTCCAAAGATAAATAAACAATAAAGAAAAATAACCTAGACCTAATCAGATTAAATCTAATGGCTATCAAAGTTCCCCGGCAACGGCGCCTAATTAGATATCACTTAAATGTTTAACCCTAAGGAGTGAATTAGTCTCTCAAATAAGAGGTTCACTTGTTGTACTTAGGGATCGAATCCACAGGGAAATAGGCAGCACAAAAGATGTAATCCTAAGTGATTATGCTAGGTTGATTAGTTTAAAATAGAAAATTTCAGTTTTGTGAGAAATGGTAAGTTGCTCAAGAGAATAGGTTTTGGTTTTAAAACAATAAAAGAAAGTAGTTAGATTCAAGGTTGCTATTCAGATAATTAGGATTATAGATGTTTTAGTAAGTTGCTTGCAAGATATATAAGAACTTCGATTCTTAGACAGATCTAATAGCAGTCACTAAATAGACTTGTCCATTGATCTTATTGCCGGCAATATCGACCGATGTTTTGACAGCGATATCCGACGATATGGGTTGCCGTCGATCGATAACTCTATAGGAGTATCAATTGATATAGCATTAGATCGAATCGAAAATGTGTTCACCAAGATCATAGACCGACTCTCGCACATCCCTAGACGATCTAAGCTTATGCCAAATGATTTCAGGACAATGATTAACAAGTTAAATCACATCCATGATCATACTTTAGGTATCTACTCTAGAGTAGGCATTGGGGTTCATTTGGATAATGAATATCAACAACTCAACATTCCATAGTTGGGACTAATCCCTCATAACTATTTGAACCCTAAATCTAACAAAGGAATCTACTAAAACATAGCTAACAGATTCATAACAACAAGGTAATAATAGAAACTCATAAGATTAGAAGATTGAACTTTTTGTTCTTGGAACAACAAATCTCTTTGTGTGTTTCTTCTAAATCTAGAATTCTATAACCTTTGAGAATTAAAGATGAAAAGAATACTTAAATTAAAAACAAGCAAAACTTAAGAAGTAACAAAAGGTATTCAAAACATGAAAAGCACACTTTGCCAAAACACATAGGCAGAACTATAAATATGAGTTCCATTAGGTTAAGAACTCGTCAGGAGCAATATTGTAATATTTGGAAAACTTGGGCTTCAAGTCGGCCAAGTCGGACTTGTTCTCCACGCTTCATATCGATCAATGGTACATGGTGTACATCGATCGATGGAGTATCTCGACTTCATCTTCTATGGAAAGGTCATCGATCGATTACACAGAGCGTGTATCGATCGATATGTATCCTTATTGTCTGATCTTCATAGTCATCTCGGAAAACACTCCTTTAAGCTCCATAAGGGCACCTAAATCATCACTTTACTCCAAAATGCTCCTAAACCTGAAAACATACCTAATAGACTCCAAAAAATATATAAAACTTATAAAAACATATCAATACCATGGCTAAAAACGGGTCAAAATCATGGTATATCATCGGCCCTCCGGTTTTGATTCAAGACTATCTTTCCCGACAAGGTCCTCTTTTCATATGACGAAGCGTCCCCGTTAATTTCCAATGGACCTAGATGCGCCGAGCTCGTCAGTCAGATCAAAGGAGGCCCGCGTGAACTCCTGCCTACAGACGAGCTGGCTTTCCTGAACGCTTACACGGATGTGTCGCGTAATTTCTTAATGGCGAGCGTCTCTTACTTTAGCGGGATGCTGATCAATATTTCAGGCTGAGGGTATCTTCAATTTTCTCGTCGAGAAATATGACTCCGAGCTTAAGAGGGCGTACGCTGAATCGAGCAAGGCTTACGAGAAGGCTAAGGCTGGGAAGAAGCGAGTCAGGTCGTTGAAGGCCTCTCTAAGGCAGCCTGAGACAGAGAAGAACAATGCTATTCATCTTGCCGAGATATAGGCGATGAGGGATGAGGATTTCTCAAGCAGGCTCGGGTCTATGAAAGCCGCAGCAGAAAAAATCAAGGAGGAGAAGGCTGCTCTGCTGTTGGACAAGGCGCGGCTTGAGAGTGAGAAGCTTGAACTTTCAGAAGCTCATGCTACGGAGGCCGCTCGTCTAAGAGAATCCAGGAATTTCGAGGTTACTCATGAGCGGGCAAGAGTAACCATTTTGATGTGCGTGAAGGCCAACGTCCGATTCCAGCGGATCCGTAACCGAGAGAACTCCTTTCCGCAGTTTGACGATGCTCGATGTTACTACAGCGAAGCCTTTGGTATCCGGAAGTGTCTGGAACTGCTGAAAAAGAGAGGGGACCTCATCCCGCAAGAGAGGATTGATTACTTCCGGCACAAGGAAGAGAAATGGCTTGCGGAAGCCACTCGGCTAGACATCGGTCCTCTGACGGAGCAGGATATAAGCATGTCTCCTCTTGCCTTGGAGTCGACATTCGTTGACGAGAACTTGCTTGATGCGTTAGTGTCGGAATTAGAGAAGGAACTCCCCTCGAATCAGCAAAGCTCCAACTTGAATTTGATTGGCCCGGAGGTGGCTGCTTCGCTTCATACTCTGAGTCGTTCCGCTGGGGGCCTGTCTGGTGGAACTGTTGGCAATCCGCTGACTGGTGCTAACGAGACTGTTGAAGGCGGAGCAAACGGGGATGGTCGAGGCAAAGTTGCTTCCGCCGGGAGCAAGTCAGCTGGGGGAAACATCCACTGTGGGATCTTCGGAGGAAGACTACTCGGACACGGGAGATTTCAGGAAGAAGGGGGTCAGCATGGACAGTGACAAGGCGAGGTCCAATTCGGAGGGGCTGGAAATCCCTGAAGAGCAGGTTGGAGAAGAAGGCGTGAGTCAGCACAACCCGTCGACCGATGTTCCTCAGCAAGTTCTATCGATCGATGCCCCTCAGCAGGTAACTGGGGCAAGTGACGAGCAGACCAAAGAATAGGAGTGATGTGGTCTTGCATCGTTTTACTCGGGGAGTGTTACTCCTTTCTTCTCTTTTGTTGTTCTCGACCCCATTGGTGGGGTTCGATCCTGTATCATGTCTTGTATTTGAACACATATTCGGTTTTATTCTACCTTTTTTTTGAATTATACAGAGATATCCTGGCCTCACAGAAGTGATCCAGACTAGTCACGTGTTGCCACGTGTCGGTCCTCTGTCCCTGGCAATGCCGAAATGTTAATTCCCCAGTGGCCGGGATTCGAACCCAGGTGGCGGTACTCACAGCTGTAAGCCCTTTACCACTTGAGCTAGAAGCCCCGGTTTTTATTCTACCTTTTATTAGTTCGTCATCCGTAATAGTTTGATTTTCGAGTAGTTTTAGAACTAATTCCGAATAAATTATCGAAAAACATTTGGAATAACTCGTCGGACACTCGGCTATGCAGCCTAATTCCTGGTTACCAAAATTAATTCGAAGTAATTTAAGTCGCGAATAAACTCGGGTCTTACTCAGAATAAACTATTAGTATCTTTGTTATTCGGCTATTCGAAGTAACTAATCGGTTATCAAAATCAGTCGGTGGAGACTTGTACGTTACTTTGGCCGCTCGACTTCGATCCCGGCCAGGTGCAAGTGAGAGTGGATTTTTTATTATTAACGGTTAAGGTTTTCGATAAGTCGTAAAGTAATCCCGCTGAGTATTCGGTTGGCCATTACCTTACTCGGGTATAATTACGAGTTCAAAAATAACTGTTTCCGTTCGAACGGAGGGTGTCGAGCCTGTCTGATCAGGACGTACTGACGCTTTGGGGTGAGTGTTCGTGCGCAGTCCGTCCATTATGTTAGTGAGGGCGCGAAAATCACTGGGATTTCGAATGAGATGAGTTTCACTCGGTGAGTTGTAGCGACCATCGGAGGTGCGCTTACTCGGGGTAATTATTTAGGATTACAACTGAACCCGGTAGGGCTGCCTACGTACCTCGAAAGAGGATCAAGCTGTCCATAGTTCTTTGGGCCGAGTAGAAGTGACTTGGACAGTGCATCTACACGATGAGTAGAAGTGGCTCGTGAGCGCATCTACTCGGGGTCTTGGGGCCGAGTAGAAGTTACTTTGAGCAGTGCATCTACTCGGCGAGTAGAAGTGGCTCATGAGCGCATCTAATCGGGTTTTTTTTTTTTTTGTGAGAGCGCGTTTACGCGGAGTGATAACGGCAGAGGTGCATGGCATTCCATGCTCTTGGCACTTCTTTTCCTGCTGAAGTTTCCAGTCGGTAAACGCCGGGTTTGATAACTTGAACAATCTTGTACGGGCCTTCCCAGTAGGCTCCGAGTTTGCCGGCATTCGGCTCCTTGGTGTTCTCGAAGACTTTGCGCAGGACGAGGTCACCTAATCCAAAAGGACGGGAACGGACCTTCTTGTTATAGTAGATTTCTATCTGATGCTGATAATTCTGTATTCGGAGTAAGGCCTGATCCCGCTTTTCTTCGATCGCGTCGAGGGCGTCGAGTAACATTATCTGGTTGAGATCGTCGTTCTGGGGCATTTTGATACGGCGTAAGCTAGCTACGTTGACTTCGGCCGGTGCCATTGCTTCGACTCCGTAAGCCATAGTACTCCGTCCAATTCGTCGGCCCAGCAACCCTTCTTCAGGTTGAGTCGTTTCTTGGAAGACGCGGCCTGACCGTTACTCTGCGGGTAATGCGGAGTCGACGTGTTTAGGCGGATTCGCCATTTGTCGTAGAATGCTCAGAAATGGTGAGCGATGAAGTGGGAGCCGTTATCCGTCACGATTTCGTAGGGCAAACCGTGGCGGAAGATGATGTTCTTCCAGACAAATGTTTGAACCTCTCTGTCGGTAACTCTGGTATAGGCCTCGGCTTTGATCCATTTAGTGAAGTAGTCGGTCAAAACCAAGATGAAACATCGCTGTCGCAAACTCTCGGCTTTGATCCATTTAGTGAAGTAGTCGGTTAAAACCAAGATGAAACGTCGCTGTCGCAAACTCGGCATGGGACCGATGACATCCATTCCCCAGCGCATGAACGGGTACGGGGCAGACATGGTGCGGAGCATCTCGGTCGGGGAATGGATAGTCGGTGCGTGCCGTTGACACTTGTCGCATTGCGGGGCGTAGGATATACAATCGGCTTTCATCGCTGGCCAATAAAAACTGAAGTTTTTAATTTTGATTGCGAGGGCGCGCCCGCCGAAGTGGTTCCCTGCTGCGCCTTCGTGTGTCTCGGCCATGACGAGCCTTGTCTCGTTGCAGTGTATGCATTTAAGTAGGACCTTATTGGCGGAACCACGGTGTAGTCGGTCGTCAATGACCACGTAACTCGTAATCTGTGCCTTTATTCGCCGTGCTTTCCATTTCTCGGCGGGTAGCGTCCCATCCCAAAGAAAGTTAAGTAACTCGGTTCTCCAATCAGTACCCGCATCTTCTGTTTCGCTCACGGGGACCAATTGTACCGTGTTGTCATCGGGTGTGTCTTCCATAGGAAAATTTTCTGCTGTGCGTGCGGATGCGCGTGTTCGTACGGCTACTACCGCGAAGGAGTTCATAGAAAGGAAGGCATTTATCCGTGGATCGGGAAATAAATCTGTTCAGGGCTGCGATTCGGACGGTTAGGCGCTGCACCTCGCGACTATTTCTCGGGCTTGGGAGGTCAAGGATCGCCGAGATTTTTTAAGGGTTAGGTTCTTTCCTCTCTGTGTTACAATGTATCCGAGGAATTCGCCAGAGGTGACGCCGAACGTGCATTTCGCCAGGTTCAGCTTCATGCCGTATTTGTTCAACATTTTGAAGCATGCTGCGAGATGCTTCGGGTGGTTCGCAGCGTGGAGTGACTTAAGCAGCATGTCATCGATATAGACTTCCATTGTGCGGCCGAGTTCGTCCGCGAACATCTTGTTGATGAGACGCTAGTAAGTTGCTTTGGCGTTTTTGAGTCCGAAAGGCATGATCTTGTAGCAATAAGTCCCTCTGTCCATGATGAACGCTGTTTTTTCTCGGTCATCTGGATGCATGGATATTTGATTGTAGCCCGATAACACGTCCATGAACGTCAGCAGCTCGTTGCCGGCGGTAGATTCGACTAAGCGATCGATATGAGGGAGCGGGAAGCTGTCCTTTGGCAGGCCTTGTTTAGATCAGTGAAATCCACACAGATCAGCCACTTGCCATTCTTTTTCTTGACAACGACTGGGTGTGCCAACCACTCGGGGTATCAAACCTCTGTGATCGAACCAGCCGCGAGTAAGCGTTCGGCTTCCGCATTCACTGCCTTGGACCGTTACCGTCGAGATGAACTTCTAGGATCTCTTCCTTTTGAGGGTAGATTTTGTTTATTGGCTTAGCGATCGAATTCACTCGGGGTGTTGCTCACTTGATACTCGCTACGAGCAGTGTGCGGGCCGCTTCCTGATCGCCGCGAAGCGTTCGGAGGCGTCCGTCCGTACTCGGGAACTTGACGCATTGGTGGTAGGTGGATGAGATCGCCTTCATTGAGTGTAACCAGGGCGTCCCGAGTATCACGTGATATGGGGCATTTGTTCCAATGATGGAAAATTTGACAGTGCGGGTGACTCCTCCCGCGTATACCGAGAGGTGAATGGTGCCAAGCATTTCCTCGGATGCTCCGTTGAATCCTGTCTGGGAACGGGCAGACGGCTTGATGAGGCGAAGGTCGACGGAGCTGCCGGTATCAATGAGGACCTTAGTTACCTCACAGTCGGCGATGCCTAATTCGATCAATAACGGGTCATTGTGAGGAATGTGTACACCAGTGGCGTCTTCGGCCGAGAGGGTGATCGAAGGATCGTTTGCAGGTTGGGAGTTCCAGCATCTGGAGGACTTTGCATGTCTCTGATGTGCTTTGTCGGCACGAACCGAATCCTCGCAGGGTGGTGAACCTCCCATGATGAAGTTTAATCTTCCACTTGCTCCCAGGTGTGGACCCGGTGCGGGGAGAGACCTGATTTCATCCAAGTGTTGGCGCAAATCGATTCGCTTCAATTGGTTGAGCGTTTCTCGTAGGTCTTTTTTAGCTGAGTTCAGCTTATCCCGCAGATCCGTGACATCGGGGCCGGCGAGTATAACCTGTATCCTCTTCCTGTTTCATCGTCGGACGAGGACTCGGGGCCGGCGAGTATAACCTGTATCCTCTTCCTGTTTTTTGGTTGCTCCACCTCGGGGGGTGTGTCGTCGCGATCGCGAGATTCGGGCTTCTCCCCCTTTGGTTGGGGTTCTTCTTCCTTCGGTTTGCCGGAGGATTTTTGCGCTCTTTTGTCTTTGTTTTTGCTCCAGCTATTGTTCCCTTTCGGACGCGGTTTCGGTGGATCAGTTGGGATTTCGCCACGGGCGTACTTTCCGAACAATATCTCCTTA